ATTATTTGAAAAGCATGTGCCTAAACGCATGTATGTTCCTGAAGAGCAAACACAGTTATGGTTCACTAAAGATCTGAGAAATTTTAAAAACAGAAAGTCGCGTTATTTTAGATTACACAAAAAAACCGGTTTACACTCATACTATGTAAAATACTCACTTTTGCGTCATAATTTTATTGAATTAAACAAAAAGTGTTATAAAGCTTACTTGTGTAAAATCAAACGGCGTATAATATATAACCCCAAATCGTTTTATGACTTCGTAAACTCCAAGCGAAATGTACGTAGGTTTCCTTCCGCCATGAAGTATCAAAATACCGTCTCTAGTGATAATCAAACAATTTCTAACATGTTCGCTAAGTTTTTTAAATCCAATTATTCCATTAACTCACATGCTAACATTGACTATCCTTTTAAACTATGTCCAATGAACTCAATAAATATCCCAGTAATATCTCCCGATGATGTAGTAGTTTATCTGAAATCCTTAAAGCAGTCCTTCAGTTATGGTCCTGACCAGATCCCTACTTGTATTTATGTAAAGTAAAGTTAAAAAGTGCAACGCTTTGTTCAATAGTTTCTTGAAATGCAGGCCAGGACAATTTAGATAGTTCTTTGTTAAGCATTTTAAAGTTGGCTTTCGAAAAATCAAAGCGAATATTTGGTTCGTATGCTTGGGTACTGCAGTTTTGACCATCACTTATAACTTCGTAAGATACCTCCATAGCAGGGTNTATTGTGAAGTACATTAACCTTAGTTAGGCAGATTTCAGCCATCTCCTCTAAAGATACGTTGTTGCACGCACTAGACGCGAAAGGCACGATATCATTGTCAATGATGTTCCATGATATGCTTGGTAAATTAAAATCACCCAACACAATCATTTGGTGGATTCACAAGGTGTGCTATCTTGTCGTATTGTCATAATTTACTAAACTTTTACAATGGTTTAAAAAAATTGTTGTTACCTTCCACACTGAAAGAGTACTAAAACAGTACAACCTTGCTTGCTATGTTTATATGGTGTAGTAAGCAAACAGCTGTTCTTTGTTTACATTCGCTTCTCGTGAAAATTCTGTTTTGTCTTGTGCTTATACCGTCTGGCAAATTGTGCTGCTTATAAAAATGGATCCTTTGCCAAATATTCAGGTAAGATCTAATGCATTATCTCTATTAATGGACCCAGATTAAATAAATGTTTTTGATTTAGCCAAAAGCGAAGCGTGTGCGCATCAATCCCACCAAGAAATGGACCATAGTAGAGGAAAAGGCGCTCATTGAGTTTTTGATGCGAATAGAGATTTTGGGGTTTGTTTTTTATTAAATAAGTGCAATTTTGACCACACTGAAGGTATTAATTACAGAAGCCAAATGCTCAAGCCTACTACAGGCGGTTTTCGTTGGAAATGAAAGTGGAGGTTGAGTGGAAGCTGGCACAAGCGAAAGTGCGAAACATGCGCGGCAGCTACAATAAAGCCAAAGGTTGGGAAGGATCAACCGGCGCCGGCAGCATGGATGGCGAGACTATTCGAAGTAGGAAATAGAAATATGGGCCATTCCAGCAGCTTTAATTTTACGATTTTTTATTTTAGCCATTTTACTTAAAAAGTGCAATTTTTTTACGAGCTTGACATTTTTGGCAATAGGCTCGTTGAAGCGGCTGTCATTGAAGACAGTTTGGACTCCGTATGTGAAGATATTTTCAATTCAACAGAGCTCGTGTTCGAAGAAACCACAATGTCGCCAACAAATGTAATTGTTGAAACCGAAAACACAGCTTCCACAAGCCGTAAGGGGATTTATTCTCGAACTGCACTTACAGATATAATGGAAATGCAAGCAGACATGTTAAATGTGAGGAAGCAGAAAGCTGACCAAGACTTTAGGTTGAGAGAAGAAGAGTTAAGTTTAAAAAAAATGAATTATTTAGCATTGAAGGAAAGAGAAATGGAATTAAGAGAAAAGGAGATGAAGAGTAATGAAAGGCTAAAAATTATGGAGCTAGAAATGAAGGAGAGACTGGCAATGGAGGAGCTTAACCGAAAATATAAATAAGAAAGAACTACTCACCTACATACATACATACATATGTGTACACATATCATCCCTACCATGTTGAATTATCGAATGTGAAAAGCGTTTTTTTATAATCGTTATTTTGGTTTAGAGCGTTTAGTTGAAAATTCATCGAAGTATCTCAGATTTTGCCATTGTTATAGATTCGACAATGTTTCAACTTAATCCTTTTTTTAAACGAGCGCAAAGTTTAGCGATGACATGTAGTATGTATGCGTGTATGTACATATGTATATGTACATCAAAAGTATTTTAGTGCTTACGTACAGTGAATATTTCTTTATTAATTTGTTTGCTGTCTTCTGGGACATACAGCGTTCTTTATTTCATTTCATTATTTTTTATAAAACAAAAGTACAAATTACAAATATAAATAGATATGTATGTATGTATACGTATAAATACATATGTACACATTTTGTACACAACGTTTTTGAATGGAAGAGGCTTATATCTTTTCCAGTTTTCTGAGGTATATGTACATATGTACATATCGAACACGTTCTTCAAAAGTAGATTAACCCCTCTATTCTAACAGAGTCACAAAACTTAGCTCATCACTGTTGTGATTTCTAGTGCGCCGAGAAATGTGTCACAAAAAATTAGAATTTGAGTGCTAGAAAAATACACAAGAATTTAAAATTGTGTATTGTAGCGGCATATTTTTTGCAGCGGCAAGCTTTGAGGGGCAGTAGAAATCACAGCAGTGATGAGATACAATTTGTGACTTTGTTAGAATACGGCTGTAAGTCATAAATATGTAATTTTTCAAAAGTGCAAAAACAAAGTTAAAAACATTGCTAAAGCTTTTGCTGGGAAGTAAATATTTTTATTTGGAGTTAATTCTCTTTAGAAGAACGTTTGCGAAATGTTGAAGAAAATTTTTAGGTAGACCTCAGATGAATACTTTGGGAAATTTAAAACCACAAAGGTGCCCAATATTGGCTTAAAAAAAGAAATTACACAAAATTTGAAGAATTAAACTGAGTTAAGTATGTAAATTAATGTAAATTGTACACATTCAATTTGTAGATACATACATATGTACAGTGACGAACAACAGCATTGGCACAGTGAATTTTTCGCAATTATGCAAAGTTTTTTTTTCTAATTTATTTTCGATAATTTTTTATAAAAATATAGTTCATTCCACACCAAAAAACATACAAATAAAATCTCTAAACTTTGTGCGAAACTCAGGAAAATTCAATAAATTTGCCCACTAATTTGCAACTTTTTATTCAGATTTTTTAGAAATATTCTAATTATGCAGTTTTATACCCCATTCAATTTTAGTATAAAAAAATTCAAGTATAAAGCTGCTAGAGAAGCGCGTTGATTTTTGGTAATTTTTTTAGTGGAAGGTGTTTCTCATTTTCTCCATACAAAAAATAATTGACGAATATAATTTCTATGGCAGAACCTGCGCGAAAAAAATTGCCAAAAATCAACGGGATTTTCTAGAGATTTAAAACTTGCACTTGATTATACTAAAATTTAATGGGCTATAAAACTGCATACTTAGAATATTTCTAAAAAATCTGAATAGAAAG